GCTTTTATGTGTAGTTTATTTTTCTTTGCAGGTTTAATTTGTACATAGGCGCTATAGTAACTTTAATGGCAAGAGAAAGAGGGAATCACATAGCATTCTGCACCAAAAGGGATTAGATCAAAAAGTGTGCCAAGGAGGGGAAAAGCAGTAATTAGTGAAAACAAGTGAGCTAAGATTTTTCTCACTGTATAAGAAAACTATGTAGGAAGTTTTAATTGGAATTGTTTGCAATTTACTTTGGTCCTATGGAGGAAAATGGCTAAGCTTCATTGTATTTGAAATCTCATTCTAGGACTAGCAACAGCACCTTTAAAAATAAGCCTCAGAAAAAAAGGCTTTTGCTATTTGAAATATTTTTAAATACAACTTCCATATATTAGCATTTTCATTAACCTGTTAGCATTTTCATTACAATGAAAAATAGTGAACTTTATGCAAAGAAAATGAAATATATTTTGTTTGAACCTCTTTGCTGAAGAATGATGTAAGTCATAGCCAACTCTGCTGAGATGTATGGGTTGTTTGATGCCCATGCTGCTAAGTATTTGGAGAGCATGCAATATAACATTTTAAACCAAAACAGAAAACTACTCCTCATCAACTTAAACTTTGCAGATAGAACAACATCATGAAAAATAGATGTTTGCCAAAGCCTAAGGAAATTATTCCTACATATCTGCAGCCTAAAGTTGTTGGGTTTTTTTTCTGATACTAAATTAGTAATGATAAACTTGTGATAAACATTTCTCCCATAGGCCTTATGAGCAATGACTGTACTCTTCTAGGGACTTTTACCGTGTAATAGCCAGGAGTACTTAATGACTTGAAAGTGACTGGGAAATGCTTACTTTAAGAGAAAAAAAAACCCATAATCAGGCAGCCTGTCATTTAACTTCAGCAATGGGATGGTGTGGCTGTAAATATCTTTCAAAGACATGGCATGGAGAAGATTTTGGAAAGATACTTTCAGATTTTGAATGACTGCAGGGTCTGGGTTAAAAAGGTTTGAGCAATTTTCTCTTCCTAATATCTTAGATTTTCTTCATACTTCCTTCATCTTACTGGGCAGTTGTATCCTTGGAGAATAAAAACTCTTTGAATATCGTATATTGTTATCTTGGATATCACATCACTGACCAAACAAGAAGAGAGTTCAGTAGCAAAGGCCATAATAAAAATTTCCATGTCAGTGCCCTTTCTAAGGCAACTTGTGAGAGGACACTTCTTTTGGCACAGTCCTGCAGAGAAATGTGGTATTTACATGTTACAAAGTAGATCAGTTTTTAAAGTTATGATCTATCTCACTAGGTGAAGACTAAGAAATAAATCTGGTGAAAATATCCTAATAATTGCTGTGGAACATTGAAATATTCCCCTTTTAACTTTCAGTAATAAAAATTTAAGTAAAAGGTTGTCTCCTAGTAATTTTCTACCACTTTATCCTGTTTTAACCTAATTACCATCTATCAGTTCTTTATAGAGATAGAGCAGCAATCAGAGTGCCACATATGATTACTGATAGCTCTTCTCCTTTTCTTAATTGTCATGCACACATTTTACCTACCTTAGTCCTCTACATAAATGAGAAGCTATTCCTGGGATACTGCACAGGAATGTGTGATTCTTCTGCGAGATGACATGAGGCTTAGGTGTTCAGACTTAGTATGAAGAGGGGAAAATGGGTAATATTGGCTCCAGACAGATAGCTAGGTCAGCCTGGGTGGTGCAGTGAAATATGTAAGGGCAGTGTATCTCTTGAGGATAGAAAGCAACTGAAAAAAGTAGACACCCTAGGAAAAAAACGTGCTTATCTGGAAAGTTTATATAAACTACAGGTGCAAACACTGGAAAGTCCAAAGTTTGGACTTTTTGCATCTAGCACTGACTTAGCATCAATCTGCCTGTTTTGCTTCCTCTTTCTTATTGATTTTGGCTCCTTTCCTGTTAGTTACACCCTCCTCAGTTACATACCTTTCCTTAATGAATGTGATTGCATTGATATATTGCCATTCAAAAAAAAAAAAAAAAAATCTCAGTACAAGGAAAATATTTCAATGCAAAGTAGCATTTGGAACCCCACGGGTTAAGAAAATCATCTGTACATAAAAACATAAGTTCAAGCAGCTGCTAGTCTGCCACTCTCTTGGAAAGGGGATAGCTGGAGATGCCAGGCGTTCAAGCTATCAGTTTTGGGGCTTACAGTCATTTATAGAAAGGGGAGGAAACATCAATAGGATCTAAGGTATTCCAGACCAAGAGACTACAGGATGTAGTGAAAATTGTGCTATTGGCATATTGCTACCCTATTCATACTCCGCACCTCCAGACACACTTAGAATTTGCCAAGTTTGAAAGAAGAAATTAGTAGTATACCAATGAGTTGACAGACTCTGGCAGCTGTTTGCACAGGACCTGCCAGTAGGTGAATGGGATATTGCCAGAGAAGCTGAATTCCAGATGAGAGGGTGGAAAAGGAGAAAGGATTTTTTTTCAGAGCTCTCATTCTTTTGCGCTAACTTCACAGCAAATTTTAAGTGGCATATGGGTGAATGCACTGGACAAATAGTAGTAAGGCAAACCAAAATGTCATCTGTCTAGAAAAGAATAACCCTCAAAATTACTGCTGACAGTGGATACACTTTCTTCAGCCAGCAGCGTATTGCACTTTTCTCACTCAGGCAGATTATGACAACCGTTCCTCTGATATGGTCCGTGAATGAATGAACATCACTTTAATGGACTGCCCACAGTGGACAGCCAGCACCGATTTGCACTTCCAAGCACAGCAGGTAGGGAGCTCTAAAGGAACATTTCATACTGGCCATTAAGCATCCAGCATGACCACAAAACTGAGGTGACACAAGGAGAGAGCAATTCCCTGGGAATATGGATCATGTTTTGCAGCCAGCTGCAGATAAAATAACCAGCTTCTTCTGTAACCTGCTATTATCTGTGGGATGCTAAAAAAATCCTTTCCCTGGGATTTTAAGTCTCTCTCTGCATGACTGTAGTTAATGACTGGACTACGTGGGGTGTTCATTGTTTAGTGACCGAATATCCCTACTACTAACAAGTTGTGGGTTTGGTTTTTTTTAATTTAATGCAGAGTATTATAGAACTGTATAGAACCCTGGTTTTTTTTGCTGCCAGCCATATGCAATTTTCTGAAGCTAATTATTGTAGTCCTATGAATCTGTGGCAGAAATTATCCATAATCCATTAACCAGGCCAGAAATAAACAAAAACTATTATTTTATATGATCCTTAAACCCCTTGGAAAACCTATAAAAATGTTGCTGCTGTTTACTTTTGGCCAATTAAAAAGAGGCATGCATGCATCCAAAAGTTCAGTCAGTGTAAAGTTTTAAAGTATTTGATGTCAGTTTGCACTGAAATATACACAGTAATGTCTTTGTGTCTAATGAAAATAAAAATTCAATTTTCTCTGTTTAATGACCATTTGTGGTCTTAGTCCTGGGAGTATACTAATAATAAGCAATGAAAATATCAGGTAAAATCAGACTGAATTTTTAAAACTAAAAGCAACTTATAATTCAAATAATTGATGATGAATCTTCATATTAAAGAGCTATCAGCCATAAAATAGAGTCTTAATGAAAACTGGCACATTCCATTGCCTTGTGTGATAGAGCAGCTTCTTGCCTTGAGAATTAGCTTCACATGAGTTTTAAGGTGAATTTCAATTTTAATTATATATATATGTAGTGAAAGAGAAAGCCTTGGCTAAATAGGTTTGAGCAGCTCATCTGAACACTTTATTAAGCTCATATGACTTCAAATAGATGATTTTGCAAAGTATTATTGGTAAACCAATAGGTATTTCATCAGTCCTTCAGTCTCTAAGCCTTATTTTGCCATCCCCTCATCCTGGATGAGCATTCTTTTTTTTGTCTACCTAGTGCACACGTTGACTGGGAAGAGGTAGTTTCTTATTAGATATTTCTCATACAGCAATTAGAACAATGAGTATCAAATTCCGTTTAGGACAAATGAAGGCAGTTGTTTTCCATGTGAACAAAGGATCCTAATGTGCTGTGAATTTGTCAGCTCTGGGCAGGTCTGCAAAAAGCCCTTCAAAATCAACACAATAGCCTTTTAAAAACCTGCTTTTAAAATTTCTGGGATAGCTTGGACTTGTGGAATCTTGAAACTGCTTAAAATCTTACCAAAATAACAAAATACAAAATTCAGACTAGAATGTCTTATTTTTAAATCCTTATGACCATAGAAGGAACTAAATACTTCTCAAGAGCAGATATCCCCACATTATTTCTGACATAGAAATCTTGAGAGAAAGTGGAAGGATTCTGAAGAGGCTTCCTGACCCCACAAGTTCATTGAGTGAAGAGAAGACACTGCAGGTTTTTAGTTATCACCTGTTTATTCTTAACTCAGTGCTCACACCTGTGTTTTTTGTTGATGCTTAACATTCCTGAAAGTCCACTGAGCTGCAAGAGTTTATGTGAAATCAGGTTCACAAGCTGAACTGTTTCCATTACCTAAATTTCTAAACTCTTCAAAAGCAGTTAAAGGGAAATATGAAATACATTTATGTTTTTAGATATATTACATATATATATATATAAAATTATATATATGTATGTATGTATGTATGTGGTGAGATTGCCCTAAAGAGAGTCAGCTACATTACCCCTTGGTGGTTTCTGTTACTCGCTCTGCACGTCCATGAACGCCCCCTTTGCAGTGGCTCCTCACACTGGCAGGAGTGTGTATATCTTGTCAAACAAATGCTAGCCTGTCTTGTCAGTCACAGGGCTAAACAGGAAGGAAGACAGAGCTCAGAGCCTTCTGTAAGCAGTTTCCACAGCGTCTTTACCTACTTGGTTTATTTCTTGTGTGCAAACTTGTGCATGCGCTTACTATTTTATTTTTTTTAAACATAATTTGTCCGTAATTACTTTTTCAGTTGACATATTTTCATTTCCATTTGTTCATTTCTGGAACTGTTGTATTTTCAGTTGATTTCATAGGCGGACTTGACACATACTCCTACCGACAGCCCCCCCAGGAACATGTTGAGTTAAAGCCTGTAAAGCCTGTAGGTAAGGTTCTGGTCCTACGGACTACATTAATCCTTCTAACTGAACTGAAAGCTAACCTTCTCCTAAAATAATTTTGGCATCAGATTACTGATAATTTAATTATATTTTAATTAGAACTTAATTAAAAATTAATCCACATAAAACATTTGAGTAAGGACACTTTGCCATTGATGACATACCCACTAAAGCAAGGATTGGTGGATAGCACCATGTCTGCCATGTTGTGCCTCATCTTAAGGAGAGGCTCTCAGTGAAGGATGGAATTGTTCCCTGCTGACTTTTTAGCAAGAAAAGAGCTGGTTTATGGCTGCTGCTGCTGCAGGAATCTTAATGAGATTAACCCATTTATAGAAAAGTATAAGCTTTTTCATTTGTCTAGCTACTGAAAGAAAAATGTTTGCCGAAAAACTGCTAGTCAGCTTAAAATCTAACTATCTGTCAAGTTTCACTGGAAGTTCATTATCTCTTTGTCATCACTTATTTGCTCACACCATGAAAATCGCATGTTTTCATAGACTCTTCCTGATCTACTACCTAATGAATAAGTTTGGATGCATATCTATTCTTTTTATTTGAAATAAATTAAGATATGGGGAGACATTACTAATACATATATTTTGGCAGAAGCTCATGTAACTTCATAGTAGATGATTTTGCAAACTATTATTGGTAAACCAGAAGATGTTCATTTGGAAGTTCTTCTTATATGGTTGGAAGTTGTTGTGCTGTTGCTTTCTGTCTTTAAATTTACCTTTGGGCTTTTAATGCATCTTAAATGCAACACCAAATCCATGTACAGGTAATTGAAACTGATTTAATGACTTACTGTATTTTATTTATCAGTTAACAGAATTAAAATGGGTTGAAGGTTTCTCCTGGTTTATGGATGTGCGCATGTGCTGGGGGTTTTAATTTAAAGTGGACAATTGCTAACCAATTGTTTTGAGTTGGAACTTGACACCCGAAGTTTGTGACTTTATCAATTTTTGCATGTTTTAAAAATATATTTTATTTATGATGCAGCTTTCAGTTTGTAGAAATAAACACAGACAAAATTTAGTAAACATTTAGCTAAATATTATAGGATTATGAAGGCCTAAAATTATGGTGTGTGCTAGAACAGGAGGAAATACTACATTACCACATGAACATTTTGGCTTTTGATCAAGTACATGCTCTACACTGAAATCTATGGTTTTCAGTAATATTTCATTAAATGTCAATTTTGCTGCATTTTCTGTGGGAAAGACAACTGCAAAAAGGAGGTTTGACCCTTCTGAATAAGCTGCTAGAGGAAAAAGTAAACTGGTATTCAGGAGCAAGAAAGCCACACCTACAGCATTTACACCTCTCCGTGAAAGATTTTAATCTCTAAATCTGCATTCAGGTTAGTTGTAAGAATTAAGTGAATCAATGTTTAGCACCTTCTTAGAGAACTTACTATAATTAAAGAGGATAAAAGACATATTCACTGAAAACTTACATTCCTGCAAAATATTTCAATTTGTTTTGCACTAGAAAAGACACAGCATCTGATAATTTGTTCTTTGATAGCAGATTTTTGATAAATAGCTCAAAGGATTTTGGGGATATTGGTGAGCTGATACTGGAGAATAAATGGCATCTTCCCATTTCCCATGTGTGGGTATTCTAGTACAGCTGCAAGGATCCTCTCTGACTTCTTTATTGCTTCGAGAAGTATCAAACAGGGAGAGAAACTATATTGTGTTATCTTCTTTATTGATGTTTTGGGTTTATGTACTGAAAGATACAGAAAGTATCTTTATCCAAGCTGGGAGGAAAATTACTATCAGTGATCAAAATCTGAATTAAAAACCAAATTGCTGGAAATATCTTTGTCAGTGTATTGTGCCAGAAATTTGCAGATGCTTATCTATCTGCAGCACATTTCCCTTCTTGACTTCTCTTGATAAGTTAATTGCTATCTATATCAATTATATATAGTCTGAGAATCCATAGTATCTCTAAGAAATGTGACTTCTGGTGTCCAGGCTGTTCAGAACTCCATCTCTGTTCCCTTAGAATTGAACATGAATAGTGCTTGTAAAAATACATTAAAAACCTTTATAAATGTTATTTTATAGATTAAAGCTTGGCTATATTTCCATTTTTTCTCATCCCTTTTATTTCCCTTATTTCATTCATAAATTAACTAAGCATCACCCATTGAAAATACAAGACTCTGTGGTCTCATCCAAACCACGTGGAAGACAGTCTGTTTTTGTCAAGTACTCATATTCAGTATAATTTCTACTTAGTGCTATGATAATTACTAACTATTATCAAGAATAAGATTAGTTTTCCTTTTCAGCCCTCTGAGAGGTTAAATTTGAACTTGTTCCCATGGGAAACAAATTTTAATCCAAATTTGAATGATCATAGCTTGCCTGTTAGCTCTTTGTTCTGCCTGTAACTCCATTAGGCTACAGGACAAGAAGCAGGATCTTTACCCTGAACCAATGCAGTTTCCATTGTGACGTGCATAAGGCAGGAGACAACAGTGGAGTGGAAAAAAAATTGTCATGTTCTGTTTGGGACTAAAGCACCAGGACTATAAAGAAGACTGTTGTGGTTTCTTGTCTGTATCTACAGTCTGGTCACTCTGTAGTATTTAGAATTGCTTCAGGTACTGCCATTGGAAAAGAGAGGAGCACGGAGACCAGAAGAAAAAAATAAAAAGTTGCATTTTGGCTTGCATTAGAGATTATTATTAATAATAATGGTATTATAATACATTAATAATATACTATCACAATAATATTGTCATAAACTAATATAATTTATATAATGATAATTATAATGATGACTGTAATAATAATAATATAGTAAAATAAAACCACTATAGCTTTGGGCAACCATATCTAAACAGACTGAATCCCTAATTGCAGTTAGGGATGTCCCTGGCATTGCTAAGAACACTGCTAACTTCTGCTCGTGGAACTGATTTAATGTATGAGAAACTGTGACAGCGGAGAGGTTACTACTCTGTGTGATCCTGTCCTGTTTTTATCTTCACCTGAGACTTTACCCATCTTAAAATTGCTCTGAAAGACCAACATAGATTTTCAAGATTACAGAAGTAAACATGGTGTACAGAGAGTCAGGTGAGAACACATAGATTCAGCAGGTGTGTTGTGGTGAGAACTATAAATAGCATGAGTCCAGCTCAAATGCACAATTTGTAACCAGGTCGTGTCAGAATTTTACAATTGAGTGAAAATGCATCTTACACTGTTAAAATATATAATGCTAAACTGAATCTGTTATTGTGTGAGCTTTAGATATGTTTCATCAGCTGTGGGATTTTTCTCCAAATGTTTCTTGCTTTTGTGGTATGCATAATACAAAGCTACTGCTTTGTACCTAATTATTCATTCTGGATCTTATCTGTGAGTCACACAGCTAAGGAAATTAGTTACCAGATGAGAGTTATCCACTTGTTCATTAGTTACTAACCTGTCCGCTGGCCTGAATTTACAGCTCACAAATTAGGAGATTAACAGAATAGGTTTTCATTTGTAAGTAATTCATATATCCTGCTTTTAGGTCGAAGTAAGTAATGAACATGGACTCGAGACTTCTGCTGCTGTAGCTGAAGAAACAGATTTTAGAAGAAAAGACCAACCTTGTGACTCATCGTTCTGGAAGAAACCCACCATCCGTTCCTCACGGCATGTGGAATGTTCTTCCCACAGGCTCAGTGTCATTATCAGCGTTGTTATTTCGTAGATCCTTGTAGATGATCTTGAATTTCTGAATAATTTACTTATATGGACACTTGTAAATTGTAAATTTTTTTATTTTTTAATTTCAATATTTTTACAACATTTAGTGTTGAGGCATGAAAACAAAACAACCTGTGAAAACTAGGAGAAGGGTGTGTCTTTCTAAAAAATGTCAGTATTTTTTGACTGATAGGATCATACTGTGCCTGGTCAAGATTGTGTAAGTTAACAGTAGTTTTGACTCCAAAGTATGCATCAGGAGTCAGACCCTAACAGTGTACAAGAGATAATTTCAATGCTGTATTTAGAATTCACAGTGTCCACTCCTTCCATTGTTTGAACTGCTGAATGCAGTAGGAATTGATCTATGACTCTTCTTACCCAGATGTTCAAGCACTAACGTACTCACCTAATTATAGCAATTCGAATATTACTCCTTTTCCTTTCATAGTCTCTTTTGCCCTGAAACCACCACCAGAAGCTATCTCTGATTTGAAGAGAAATAGGATGATCACTCTATGGGTGTCAATCTCTAGGAACCTTTACATCCAGGGCTGTTTAGATGTCTGTGATTTGCACATTTTTAAACTCCTTTCCTCCCTTCTCCCAGGAAGAAGCCAAGCATGAATGTACAGTACAAGGTACCAACTGAAGCCTTAGAAGCCTCTGGGGACTAATTTTTCTCTTAATTTAAAAGTAAACAAGCAAAACTGAAAATGTGTGTAAAAATTTGTAAAGTTATTTGTAAATACTTCTAGACAAAGAACATGTATGTAACTGTGGTATTTTGTTTTCTATTCTGTCACCACTAGCATAAAGTGATATACAAAGCTATTTTCTCTGGAGAACTGGCGGTCTTCTTAAAAGAACACTTTATTTCTTTCTTCATAATTACAATATAAAGTGCTGTGTAGATTTGTATGCCCCAGAGAGTCATGTCTCTCTACAGAACCTCTGTGTCTCAGCATTGAGCATAAACTTCCTTGGGGTTTTGGGACTGTTTGTCGGTTTGCACTTTTTTCACTTTATGGTTTCTTTGTTGGGACTGTCAGGAAGGGCATTCATTCTGATAGGTGTTTCTTTACCTCTCCACCAGAGACTGAACAGAGGTCCTCCAAGTTCCTTCATAAATACCCTAAGTAATCTACAGCTGATCTAAACATTTAGATCCTAAATTCGCAGTCTTCTGTTGTATTGTGTATTGCCAAATCTGAGCAGGTGAGAGATAGATGAAAGCTTGTCTTGATCCTTTCCCCTCTAAAATCTGTGTTATTTACCAATATGAATCTATTTGGGATGCTAAGAAATACAGTGGAAGTAGAGTCTATCATTTTCAGGCAGCAAGGGTCTTGTGGTGCATCCACCTGCTTTCCAGCTAGTTAAAGGTGTCACCAACTTCAAAGAAAACACAATCTGAACTTGGATTAACCTTCCCCAAAACCGAGTATGAAGTGTTAAGAGGAAGACAATGAGAAACAGCAACTGAAAAAAACCCTTTATTAGTATTTCTGGGGCTGGATATACCTCAAATGGTATGACTGTGTGTGTGAAGTCAGAGTGGGCCAGAAACAGGGATACTTTGTATGAAGACGCCATCTCTCCTCATGTATTTGTATGTTCCCTCATATTCTAGAATATTGCAAAGAACCAGGTTTTGTCCCATCTTGAAAACCTCATTTTAGCACTAAAACCCAAGTACTATGTCACAAAATTAATAGGAATAATACAATTTTTGAGACATCAGGAAAAAGATACAGTAGAATTGCTTTATATCTGTAATATTTTGATAGGGTGGACACACATTATCTGGTTTTGTAATATTTTACTTCTGTTTAGCCTAACAGATTATTTTTCTTTTTTACATGATGCCTTAAACAGTGGTGATGTCTACCTAGCCAGTGTGTTCAATCTTGTGGTTGTGATGGCTCCAGAACTTCAGAGATGGGAATATCTGAACCCCTTTCAGTGTCTGACAGTTTCCAGAAGCTGCCTTGCTTCAACTTTCTCAAGTACAGAGACAGACCAGGATGTGAGCACCTAGCACAATTGACACTGTTCCCTTTTGGTCTTTACATTCCACCATTAATTTCCCTGCATTAATTATTACGGGCTAGCAGATTAAAGGCCTCCAATGGAACCCAGTGCTGCCCTCAGGACCAGGTGGGAGGAACAGGAAGGAGGACCACATTCTCCTTGATTGCATAGGTTCGACACTCTGTTCTGGCAGAGCTTTGGAAGTGTGTATTTGATTTTCTGCCAAGACAGACATGTCTGCTGGACCATGTTTTACAAATTTGTCTGAATGTGTCTAAACCCTGTCTTTCTGTAAGTCCTTCAGAACTGTGCACGTGTCACAAAAATTTTGCAGTGACAGAACCTGACTTCTCTTCCATTTGAAATATTGATCACTTTTTAGCTGGGGAATGCAATCCAGTGTATCCCAAATACACTTAAAATCTCAGAATCTTTACCAATACAGTGAGTGTGCCATCTGTCTCAATTAACGAACAGAACAATCCTGATTGGGAGGGATTTGTCTTCATTAGAACCAGCCAAAAGGCAGACTGTGATGCCAAAAGAAACTGTCATTCTTTTCTAGACTGAGACACACAAAACAGTATCGGTCAACCTGTACATATTAGGGGGAAAATATCTTGAGAATAATAAATGGGTTTGAATGTTAATTGCTGTGTCCTCCAATATAGTAGAAGATATTGGCTAACATTTTTGTAGGAAGCCTTGAGTAGCAGTTCCTTTATTTTTATAAAACATATTTTCAATAAGGTGTTAGGTGAGTCCCAGATCAGTCAGCTGTGTAGGGAATAAATGTTAACTTTCTAAATAAACTCGGATAGTTTTCTTAAGCTTTACTGTAACATGCAATTTCAGGAAATGACTGGGTTTTACTGCAAAACAGAATTTGCTGACAATCTTAAAATTTTAGAGAAGATTATTAGTTGCTGCAAACTGTTCTGGTGGCATTAGTAAGTCATACTCTCACAATTTAGGGCAGCTGAAAATCTATCCTTCAAAATTTTAGACATATTTTTCCTTTCCCCAAGTTTCTGCTTGATTCAGTTTTTTCACAGAGAATCAGATTTGCCACAGTACTTTAACTGACAGAAAAACTGGAGATGTGACCACAGAAATATAGCACTACATGTTCGCTCAGGACTGAGCCAGGTACCACCAGTTTCGTAAAAGAGCAGCTGATGTCTTCAGGACCTGGAAACAAAAACTGTAGAAAGACATGAAGAGGTTTTTGCCTGGTGCAGTGACATACAGTGATTATATACTGCATTTTCTGGACTTATTGGTTGGACTCTTTCATATCCATAGAGATTTCTTACACAAAAGTTTGAAATAAATAAATTTTTCGAAGTTCAATTTTGATCTGAAAGTGCTCTCTAAAATGAAACAGTTCAGAGCCTAGATTAGCTGAAAGGGTTTTTTTAGTGCTAGGATATGACCTAAGCTACATTTTATAAATAATTTAAAAATAAATAATAGAGCTCTACCATTTAAAATCATGGGAATTATGTCTGGGTTTATCCAATAACTCCTTGTCTTCAGTACTGCAGACAACGCTGTAAAGAAGATGGTATTTTTAACATATTAATAATTAGAGTTGGAAGCTAGGGGTATGGTTGCTGGTTAGCATGTGAGTAACTTTTTTTGTTTAAAACCTGAGAACACATAATTGGGACACTCAAAAGCCTGGAGTCTGGCTCTAAAAAATGGCAGATTTTAGCCCAAACAACTGATGAATTGTCCCTTTCAAACAACTTTGACTAAAGGCTTTCTTTGGTCACAGCTGCCATAAAAGTCTCTTCTCCATGCCTGGACCCTGAGTTTCACCTCTCCCTCCAGTTGCCCACAGCTCAGGCATTACAACACCATTGTCACCTCCAAGCACCACGTTGGCAGGTGCAGCCTTTTTTTTCAACACTGCCTGCCTGTCTTTCACATGAGGATTACCATGTTGAAAAAGCCAACCCAGCAATCCATCAAGGTCCTTTTAACAGACTTTGACAGTGGCAAACAAAAATTGACATTCCAAACTAATTGGTTTGCCTCCTTCCAGTATCAGCCTCATCTAGTCTAATTATAACAAATTACAACCTGGGAGCTCTTTTAGACATGGAAAAAAATTCTTTTTAAGTTGAGAAAATGTTCCTTCCATGTAAAGCTTCAACGTCAGCAGGATATTTTTTGCAAATAAGTTAATCTCTTACCTGCTATGAGTGTTTTGACAGAAGAAAATTGCCCAACATAGTGACGGGGTCATGTTGCTGCCTGCCAGAATAGAGCTTTTACAGCAGGGTGGCTGGATTGCATCCTGAGGCCATGTCAGATGGGTTAGGGTTGCATAAGGTGGAGAGTGCCCTCATCAATGCAGCCTTAAAGAAGTGGTCTCTCTCCCCTCTCTGTCGGGGGAGCTGATTATCCCTGCAACTATAACTGGGGATCAGCCTGAATGATTCATTAGTTTGCAGAGGCTTGATAAGCAAACTAAAACATGTGTTATGGACAATCAAGGAACTCAGATCTGTTAAAATAGGCACATAAAGAAGATATTTCATATTGAAATTGCTACTGCAGCATTTGCCCCTTAGAGCTATGTCTGCATTTCATGCTGGTGGTGTGCTCTAAGCATGTCAGAGCAGCTCTGATCACCTGGCATTACCAGCAGCACTCTGCTTCACTGTGAGGGGACACTAGGCTGTACAGGGCTCTAAATAATTATTCAGCAGCTAAAGACACAGATCTAGCCTGTACTGCTTTGCTATTTGACAGCTACATATAAGTTGTGCCATTTTCCCCAGGGTGATAATCTGTCTTATCTGCTGATAACTGATGGTTTCTTGACATAATTTCCACTTCCTTCACAGAAGTCATAGTTTGAATGATTCTCTTTGATTTTAAGCAAATTAAACATCTGGATTTAGTTCCTGCCTCCACATGAGTACCTGCTCATCAGTCACATAACACAGTCCTTGATGTGACAGCTTTGTGGAATAGCTGCTCTTGCATGGTCTGTTGCCTCTCAAAACCAGCAACAGACTCTGAAGATAGTCTCACTAAGCAGCAGCCATGCATCGATAATACCAGGAATGCAAAAAAGATTCTCCTTATTTTGCTTATCCCCCTAGGACCTAATATCAGTTCTTCAAGCTTTCTGTCCCAGTTTCCTATTTATTTCACACCAGCCACATGTAACCAGGCTTTCAAAACATTTCTATAAGTCAGTGCCAAGCAGACTTGCTGAAGCCGAATTTTAAGTTGGCAGAATGTGATTCCAAGAGTAATCTAATTTCTCATTTTCCACAACATTGAGTACCTGCCCAATTAGTAGAGCATCATATACAAGGAAGGGTTACAGCATCCCCTAGCACAGGACATATTTGGAATCATGTTACACATGAGCAAACAGATCAACTCCCTGTGTTGGCCCATACTATTCAATAAAATGTCACTATGGTGTACTTACACTGCTTTACCTGCGTACCCAGAACCAGAGTGGTAGAGTAGCAAGTTCTGGGGCAAATGCAAGCCAACAATTTGTTTAAACAACCTTGGTCTGATATAAATAATCCATACTGCAATTGCTCTTTCTTTTTTTCTTAGCAAATAAAGCTGCCTGGCTTATAAAGTGCACCCAGACTCTCAGGTGTGTGATAACCAGGAACCTTTTATGCCAGTCTTATGTATATACATATATATATATATATACACACATATATTGGGGGGGGGGGTTATTCAGAGTCATTTTTTTGTTTCTGAAGGCCTTATAATTCAAATAAGTCTGTTTTCCCCGAAGTTTAGAGGAGG